TAGTGTTTTAAAAGTGTAAACTGGTTATTTAGTGCATTTTTGGTAATTGCTCATAGAAAACAACGAAATTTAAGAAAAGTTTTTGTTTATAACTTTTAAATGGTTAATAATATTAACCCTCCTCCTCCAGATTGTGAATAGGGGGGCCGAAACACATCGTTCGGTACCCCTCCCGACTTTCCGGACCTTTTTTAGGGGTTGTTACCCTACACTAGAAAATTGCCAAAAATAATATTAAACTGTTGGGTAGCGGTAAACTATTATTAAAAAATTCCTTTGTACTTAGGTATATAATTTACGTACAAAATACTTATTTCATACGTATGTATACACATACATATAAATCCATTTTATTTTATTCTAATTAACATTATTAACAGCGAACAGTTCATCACTCGTTCGTTGGCTCAAAATTTAGGCAAACTTGCGCCAGTTGTGTTTTCAATCTTTGTTTAAACAAAAGGGATAAAGTACAATTAATTTATATATGTAATGTTTTTAGTTATAACTTGTATGAAATACATATGTACCTCTGTGCATCGTTGTACTCATATCTATCAAGCTCGCATAATACGAATTCCGAAAATACTTCTTTCCATCTTCTATTTGTATGCAATTCCTGCGGTCTGTTAGTAAACGACTTCACAGGCGGCACAGATGATAAAGGGTCGGACGTAAAATTTTCTAAATCAGAAGCCTCATTTTCGGGCAAAAGCTGTGTACATTGTTTCAAAACAATTTCATTATTGAGAGTTTGTTCATTATCAATCGCGCAATTATCGCCATCACGCATCATTAAAGAAGCATAATTATTGCCCATTATATTAGAATCGTCCGAGCTTATAATGTACTCCAAATCACTATCATCTTGTAGTGGATTCGCCAGAGAAGTATTACTTTTTGTTTCGGAGTGCTAGAGGAAAGAAGTATGAAATTAACGATAATAGGTGCAAGATATAATATTTAAAATGAAGTCTAATCAATTACCAAATTTTCCTCCTTTACATTTCCTTTGAGTTTATGCGCTTCTGATTTAGTTAAAAACTGCATAGGCAAATATAATTCGAAAGTCGATTCAAATTTGCTTCCCGGATGTAAACTTTCATACGCGAGTGCTTTTTTCCGCTCTGTCTGCATATAGATACACAAGTGACTGTTGCATTATACCATGATAAAAACACATATGTAGGTACATACATTAAATCGAGAACGCAAATTATTCCAATAATTTTTTGCATCGTTTACGCTGTGGTTGGTAAACATAGCGATGTCCACCCAGATTTTGTGTCGAACTTCCCGATTTTTATACAATACGGAGGAAAAATCCCATATAGCTTCTCTTGATCCTATGAACTCCACAAGCTTCCTCGATTCCTCGGTTGTCCATACTTTTTCTATTCGTCGAGGACGTTCAACCCATTTCTTCATATTTGACCGTCGCATTGCATGTTTTAATCTGGAAAAGTATATACACAATTGAAGAAGGATTTAGCATCACTGATATAGCGCGAATTATATCCATGTATTAATGTTTATACTCACATATTAGACTTCGCACTCATTTTTTGTTAAAAAGAAACTCGCGTCCGACAACACGAAGTATCAGAATGACAGCATAATGACAGTATTGTCATTGTTAAATGAACCGGTTTATTCATAGGGTTGTATTTTGACATACTTAAATGGCATACTGACATTTTAGCAGGCGCCCGAATAGTGTGCTTTATTCAACAAACAATTTATGGAGCTATAATTATTATAACAATCCGGGTTTACGTTTTTTTTTGGAGGTGAGCTTCCAAGTTGTTTCAAAAATCATGTTAAATATTGAAAAAATAAATTAACCCCTGATACGTTTTGACTAGGTATTATACATATGTACATAGTTACAATGTTCGAAATAAAATGATTTTGGTATCATAACATCTTAGTAGTAATACTGAGTAGCACTTAACCGGCTCTATGTTGAATATCGTCATTGTCAGTAAAAGTGACGATACGGACATCGGCAGCCATTTTACTGATGCGGCGACGATCGTCGACCACGATAATGACGACATTCAGCATAGGGTTGAATGAAGGCACCTGTAGACGAAAGTTTTTGATTTGATGATTGTGTGTTCAAGCTGAAACTTGTTAGACATTAACGCAAACGCAAAAATAATCAGTCGAGTTTTATTTTGTATACAAATTGGCATGTATGTATGTGTATACAAACATATTTTATTAATCATTTTCTCGGTAATATTTTACAAAAATATATTTTACGTATATGTACGTTAAATTGAACTTTCTACCATGTACATATATGTATACGTACATATGTAAACTATTTGAATGTATTGCTAAATATTTTTTTGTAGATATCTGATATCGAATCACTAGTTCCTACCTCAGTCATTGTATTTTATCACCACATTAAATATGTTACTTCATTTTTGTGTTGTAATAGTCTTCTACCGATACGTCATGCGGGCCTCCATAGTAGTCCAGTACGAAAATGTTTTCTATTTCCAATTCACATAAATAGAAGTTATGTGCTAGTAAAATATAAATAAAACCAAAATTATAATTGTGCATTTTAGAAGTAGAGCAATTAAAATTAAGTGCGATTTTTAATAACTTTTGGTTTGATTTATTATTATACCTTTAAGCCAATTCCTTGCAGCTGGATGCCGACTTTTGAATGCCTCTATCCAATCGTTGTAGTCAACGTTTTTGCTGTCCAACTGCAATTAAGCGATCA